CGGGGACACGGGGCGGGTCGAGGGCGAGACAGAAGCTCCTCCAGCCGCGTCGACGCGACGAGCTGCTCAATCAGCGGCAGCATCGCCCAGCCCACAGGGTGAGGGCCAAAGTCGGACGACAGAAACCCGAGCCGCAAAATGCCGCCGCCGCCGCCGCCGCCATGGCCGCCGCCGCCTCCGCCGCCGCCCCACCGCAGCGGCGGCACGAGCGGGGCCGCCTCCGCCGCCTCGACGTCGCGGCGGGCTCGGCTGAGCGCGACTCGGCGACGCGTCTTGTCCGAGACGGGCCAGACGAGCGTGTGGAAGGGAGCGAGGCCGGCGTGCAGCCGCTCGGTCGGCCCGGCCCCGAGCCTGCCGCGCGAGTGCCACTCGTCGAGGTGCCGCTCCAGCTCTCTCAGCCGCGCCTGCTCGCAGAACGAGGCTCACACAGGGCGCCGAAGAAGTGCCGCTCCAGCTCGCGCAGCCGCGCCTCGCGGCCGCGCCAGTGTAATCTCGGGTAATCTCGGGTAATCTCGGGTAATCTCGGGTAATCTCCACCTCGCGGCCGCGCCAATCGCAGAGGAACTGCTGCCCGTCGAGCAAGTCGTACAGCGCCTGAGGGGCACGGGCGACGAGGCGTGTCGGCGGGGCGACCCTCCAACCGCAACGGCGCGGCGGCGGCGGCGCGGCGACACGCCGGCCAGAACTGCGGGTTGATGTCGAGCGCGGTGGCGAAGGAGGCGACGGCGTCGCGCGGCCTTCCGAGCTCGGTGAGGGCTGCGCCGAGGTTCTTGTGCGCCTCGCAGAGGTGCGGCTTGAGGCGGATGGCGGCCGAGTACGACGCGGCGGCCTGCCGAGACAGAGAGCATGCCATCCCCCTGACTGCTCCGCAGGGGGAGCGGCGGGTGGCGCGTGTGTGTGCGGTGGCCTCGGCGTGCCGCCCGAGTCCCTTGAGGGCGGTGCCGAGGTTGGAGTGGGCCTGCAGGAAGGGGCCCGGGAAAGGTCGGGGATATATAGGGGGCGAGGGACGGACGGCGCCGGAGGTCGCAAGCGATCCTCGGCGAGCTGCGGCGCGAGGCGGACGGCCTCGGCATAGTGGCGGTGCGCCTGGGGCGTGAAAGGCGTCTCTTCACACCTGCAGCTGTGAACAAGCGGCCTCGGCACAGTGGTGGTGCGCCTGGGGCGTGAAAGGCGTCTCTTCACACCTGCAGCTGTGAACAAGCGGCCTCGGCACAGTGGTGGTGCGCCTGGGGGCGGGGGCGGCGGCGGAGAGGCGTCGGAAGGCGCGGCGCTAGGCTCGCAGCGTCGGCCTCGGCGGTGGCGGCGCCTCGGCCTCGCGGCCCGGCAAGTCGGAGAGGACGTTGCCGAGGTCGTTGTGCGCATAGGCAAAGGACGGGTCCAGGGCGAGCGCCGCAGCGTGCGCCGCCGCCGCCTCCTGCCGTCGGCCTCGGAGGTAGTGCGCCTTGCCGAGCGAGTGGTGCAGCCGCGCCTGGGGTCGGGGTCGGGGTCAGGGTCGGGGTCAGAGTCGGGGTCGGGGCTAGGGCAGAGCCTTGCCCACGGAGCGGCGCAAGCTTCGCCTCCTCCGGCCGCTGCCGCAGCGCCGCACTCAGCGCCTCTGCCGCGCCGTCCGCGTCGCCGAGGTCGAGCAGCGCGCCTTCGAGGTGTGGCCGAGATTACCCGAGATTACCCGAGATTACCCGAGATTACCCGAGGTTACCCGAGCTCGAGCAGCGTGCCTCCGAGGTGTAGCCGAGACGTGGCCGAGACGTTTGCGGGGTGGGAGATGTGGCTGAGATGGAGACGCAGCCGTCGCCGAGTCGGGGCAGCGCGCCTCCGAGCGCCTCCTGCGCGAGCGAGAAGGCGGAGTCGGCCCTCAGCGCTGCGCGGAAGCCGTCTGCCGCCTCGGCCGGTCTGCGCAGCGAGAGCAGTGCCTGGCCGCGGTTGTAGTGCGCTGCGGCGACCGACGGGTTGAGCCGCAAGCCCTCTCCGTACGCCTCGACCGACTCCTCGAGGCGACCGAGCTCGCGCAGCACGACGCCGAGCAGGATGTGCGCGCCGGCGAGCAGCGGGTCGATCGCCAGCACGGCGCGGTAGCTGGCCTCCGCCTCGGCAAGCAGGCCGGCGTCGCGCTGCAGCTTGCCGAGCTGAAAGTGCGCCTCCTTGGCCTCAGCAGGAGGGAGGCTGGCGGCGAGCGAGCGGCCGAACGACGAGCGCGCCGCCGCGTCGTGCCCAAAGCGCTGCTCGCTGCGCGCACGGTGGAACCAGGTGCGCCCGCCCGCGCCGGGCAGCCCGGTCGCCTCGCGGTGGCAGGCGAGAGCGGCGTCAGCGTCGCCAGCCTCGGTCAGCTCCCAGCCGCGTCGCGATAAGTCGCCAGGCACGGAGGAGCGTCGGTCACACGGCATGTCAATCCTGCGGCCGTCGACCTGAGATGTCCCTCACCCTCATCAAAGAGATATATTTGCCACTTTCCGCACAAACATGGCACCCGACCAGCTGAAGCTCTAGACTCGTCGACCGAGCTCTGGACGATGCCGACCTCAAACCACCAGCGCCAGCAACGACGTGCCGCGGCTCGCCGCGCCGCTGTTGCGACCGACGACGTGCCCGACGCCGTCCCGCGGCCGAAAGGAAGAGGCCCGCGCAACCACTTCTGGGACCCGCGGCCGCCGGGTGTGCGGCGGCACAACGAGTCGAACGAACCGAACCAGCGCAGAGCGGCGCGTCTCGCGAGCGCCCGCGGCCGCCACGCCGACGCCGTCCGCGGCCGACGGTGGTCGCGAATCAACGCGGCGCGGTGCAACGAGGCCAAGTCCTTCCAGGCTCCCGCCAGCAGCGCCTCGTGGCGTGGGCTGCACGGCCCTTCGAGACGGCCCGGGGGGCGGTGAGAGACCTCTCCCGCCGGCATGGCGCACTATATCACCCGTAGAGGCCTCTCTATAGTCGCCTTTTGGCACCTCCTCTATCCACGCCGCCGATTAGACCTCGCCGCATCGCATCGCCCCCTTCCCTGCCCCGTCGCCCTCCTGAGCTCTCCCTCCTTCGCTCCAGCCATGCACAGGACGGCTGGACCATTGGCCCGCGTGCCAGGCGTCCGGGACGGCCGGGTATCGGCTCCGTACTTTGAGCCCTCTTGGGCCACCCTCGCGTCCACCGGCCGGCAGAGCACCGCTTGGGCGACTCAGACGGCCCGCCCGACCAGCGCGTTCGATCGTGCCGCCCCCACAGCGTCAGTGGCGTGCGTGGGGTGGCAGGCGGCGTCAGCGCAGCCCCTCGTGGGGGTGCCCACCGCTCTCCTCTCACCGCTCCCCCCCGCCCGTGGCACCCCACACACTCGTCCCTCCTCAGGGGCGCAAGGCGGCACGGCACGTTCAGCGCTTGCCTCGGCCCACCTCGCCTTCACGCCCGCCACCGCGACCAAGGAGGTGGCCTCGGCGGCCCAGATGAAGCTCGTGCGGCTCGTTTGGGAGCCGCATGCCGTCCCTCTCTCGCCGGCGCTGCTCACCACGCCCAAGCCTACGCCGAGGAACCAATGGTTGGGTAGTGGGGCTAGAGGGTCGCTCTACACTTAGCCTCTGCAGCGAGCGAGCGCTCAACTTAGCCCCCGCACGGAGCCGGGCTCAGACTTAGACGCTGGAAGGCCGGGGGCCATGAACTTAGACGACACGAGGCCAACTCCGGGTAAAACCCGGGTATACCTGCAAAAGTCCAGGTTTACCCGAAAAATACCTGGACGCGGTCCCGACTAGCGTATGCCGCGCACGACGCCATATCGCCGTCTCCCAGGGCCAGTGCGCTACTTGCGGCGCGCAACGCCTGCTCAAGTACGCGCACCGTACCATGTGCTGCCGCTATGCGTGCCTTAAGGCGGCTGCGGCGAAGCGGCGGGCGCGGCATGCCGATGGCAGTGCGGACGATGCGGTTGCGATGTGTTCTGCTTCAAGATCGTGGCGGTGCTTGGCATGCACTTCTGCGATCCCAATCAGCTCATCGCAACGAAGCAGCGCAACAAGCTGGCTGCTGCCAACAAGGCCCTATGCTACCTCACGCGCGGATCGTTCAAAGAGGACCAGCATACACAGGCTTCTCTGACATGCGTTTGTTTGAGCTTGAGGCTATTTGTGAGAACTATTTGGCTAGATGTCGCCGAAGTGCGCTCAAGAAGCAGCAACGAGAATCGGAAGAGGAGGATGCTGAGGCGGCGATTGCTGAGCATGAGGAGGATCGATCGCCCGCCGCGCAGGCGAAGAAAATTTGGGCGCGAGCGCCGTATATCGCGTGCCATGGCCGACTTAGCCGGTGTAAGAGGCTCCCGCTGATCTTAGACCGCGTAAGCACTCCAGCGTGGCTAGCCACACTTAGACCCGTTAAGCCGCGAGGCTCAGAACTTAGACTACTACCCAACCAGTGAGGAACCCGTCGCGCCCGTCGCTCACGAGCTGGTGGCTCGCATCGACCGAGCCGTCCAGCTTTCTCACGCCCTGCCCACGATCAAATTCGAGACGACCAACATCCGACCACAAAAAAAGGCCCGCGCGTGCTGCGCGGGCCGGCGAGCGACTAGCGAGCCAACCTGCTAGTAGGTAGGTAGGTAGAAAGGTGAAGAACAGCCAGGCTCGGACTGGACACCAACGCGGGCCTACCGAACCACCCACCGCCCGCCCATGCGCCATGGAATTCGCGCCATGCCGACCTCCGCCCTCCCGCCGCCCTCCCCCCTTCCCGCCCACCGCCTTCGCCATCCCCCATCTGTGCATTCCACTCCGTTCGCTCCCTCCCGCTTGGCGCCCATCCCGCCCTCCGCCCTCGCCCTCCGCCCCTGCCCTGGCTGGCCTGGGTGGCACCTCCTCATTATCACGCGCCAAGTGGGAGGGGGTGGACGGGGCCCTGAGCCGACCTAGCCCTAAACGGAATGGGGCGCCCAACACGTGCCGGATTAGTTTACCGTGCCCCTTGCACGCCGGGCACGGCCTTTCGGTTCGTGAAGGGTCGGTGCGAGTCGTGCTACCAGTCCTCGGCCTTGGAGCTTGGTGAGCAGTCACATCCGTGCTCCCCGCCATCTCCATCGCCTGGTCTGCGAATGCTTATCAGCCACGAAAGGAGAGCGTGGCCGAGGACGCATAGACTCGATCGCAAGATCCCAGAAAGGCACCTCCGCCTCTGGACAGGGTGGCCCGCCACAAGGACCCCAGGAATTGCGACTCGCCGCTTTCCTCCCGCTGTGATTCTGTGTGAGCTCTGACCTCTGTGTCTTGTTTGCCAACAGTACACCTAAAACGCGGTATGGGTGGACGCTAGACAGATGATGACGACACGCACGAGCGACACACAGACACAAACAGGCTCACAAGACACACAGCCAGCTGGCTGCCACACACCCTGAGTTGGCGTACATACACATAACTCAAGGCCACATCCTCCCTGTCGCCCCCCCCAGCACTCCAAGGTGCCAAGAGAACAAACAAGGGCACAACAAACAACAGACGACAAGAAGTAACGAGAGCACTCCACCGCCATACCGTTTTTATGGCGCGCAGCTTCAAGGCGCAACTTCCCCAATGGTGTGGTGAACGCGAACCCTGCGCGCGCGAGTGTTGAACTTGTGGTCCGCTCTTCACAAGGACTCCTCCCACATGCCGCCAAAGGTCGGCGTCGGCATCGGCGTGCTCGTCATCGACGGCGGGCGTCTGCTCCTCGGGCTCCGCCGCGGCTCGCACGGCTCCGGCACCTGGGCGCTGCCGGGCGGCTGGCTTGAGGAGGGCGAGGCCTTTGAGGCGTGCGCGCTGCGCGAGCTGGAGGAGGAGACCGGGCTCGGCGCGGCCCAGGTGTTCGCGTCCGGCGCGGCGGTGATCCCGGTCGTCTCCAACAACGTCATCGACGGCAAGGTGCACTCGGTGACGGTGTTTGTGCGAGTGCCGCTCGGCGCGGCGCCCGACAGCGCCGGCGGGGCCGCCGCCGAGCCTCGGGTGATGGAGCCCGACAAGTGCGTGGAGTGGCGGTGGTGCGACCTGGCGCAGCCCCTCCCGGCGCCGCTCTTCCCGCCGCTCGCCTTCCTCGCCGACTCCGCCTACTGGAGAGACACCGTTCTGCCGACGGCGCTGCCCGCGGGTCGGGTGGCCTCGACGACCCCTGGCGCGGCGCCCTCCGGCGTCGGCGGCGCCTCGACCGACGACCCGCGCGACACGGTGCTGCTCACGCCGCTGCCCCTCCCGTGCGGCTCCCTCGTCCCGCGCGTCGTCTGCCCGACCGCCGGCGCCGTCGCGACCTTCACTGGCACTACGCGAGAGACGTTCGAGGGGAGGGCGGTGGTGAGGCTCGAGTACGAGGCGTACGAGGCGATGGCGCGCAAGGAGATGCTCGCCCTCTGCGCCGCGGTGCGCGCGCGCTGGCCCGTCCGCCACATCGCGATCGCCCACCGCACCGGCACCGTCCCCGTCACCGAGGCGTCGGTCGAGATTGCAATCTCGTCGGCGCATCGCGCGGAGGCGCTGGCGGCGTGCGCCTTCGCCATCGACGAGCTCAAGGCGCAGGTGCCCATCTGGAAGAAGGAGGTGTACGAGGACGAGCAGGCCGTCTGGAAGGCCAACCGAGAGGCGGCGCACGTTCCCTCGTGAGTGTGTGACACACAATCGATTCACACGAGTCAAAAGTGTGGTACGTAGTAATAGTACACTGTTGTCATGTGCAACAAAGGGGACCGCCTTTGAGTGAGTAGAGGCAGTTCGTGCACGCGTCGAATAATTAGCTACCTAAGTCCTATCCGAGCCGCCGCTCGGGTTGTGACGAGGGGTGAGGGGACACGGATTGAAGATCCCTCACACCAAGATCGTGCAGGGCGGGGATACATGTCCCTAAATCCCATCTCGTCTCAGAGTTTGACCGTTTTTATTTATTTATTTACCGAGCCGCCGCGCGGCGCGCGTCACCAGGCGCGAGAGCCGAGACCGAGAGATCGTCCGCGGTCGTCTGCGTCTGCCGGCAACTGCCGCATGCGATGGGCATGCCGCGGTCGCGCCGCGCACACCACGCGCACACGGCCTCGCGTACGCGAAGAGGGACGTGGGACGACGCGACGACGGTCGACGGCGGGCACCGACACGGCAACTTGTACGGGGGATCTTTTCTGCACTCTCCACATCTCTGTGGGCGGACTGGGCTCTGGGGGGTGGGGGCACAGAGATCTTTATACTCTATCTATGTGTGGTGGAGATATCTGTGCAAACTGCAATCACAAACAATGAACCAAATCTAACAATGAACCAATCTAATATCAGGCACATATGTCATATCGTCTCTCTGGGCCGGCGCGGGGGCCCCAGAGGGTGTCCATGCGGGGGAGGAGATGGGGTCCCATGGCCCGCCGCAGGCGCCGATTTTTTCGAGTTTTTTTGCGCGATTTCGTACTTGTTTTCATGGGAATTCGCCGTACTGGCGGCCATGCTATCACGCCTTGCGACATCCTATCGGCGCTGCTGACCGTGCCATGCTGCACAATTGATCACCTGCATAGCTCGCGGCCTTAGTATCAAGCATTCAGTGACGACCTGATCGTGGGGCCAGTAGGAAGGTGTCCTTCCATCGTGTGCACGCTTCTGACGCAATGCGCGTCGCCTCGGATTGGCTGCTGGCACTCTCGAGGCTATGCCTACACAGCCTCGCGCGCATGGGCAGTCAAGAGGACCACGCACCTTCTCAGGACAGCGCCGGTGCCTCTCTCTTGGACCGGCAAACGTGGTGGTCTCGTGTCACCGATGTGGGACCAGTGCGGCATCGCGCCTTCGACAGCTCTGAACTGCGCCTCACCACTGACCGGGAAGGCCGCCAAGTGGGCCAGCACCGGTCGCACATTGTGGCAGCAGTCAGCAGTGCATGTCTGATAGCTAGAGCAGCAGCATCAGGGTCGCAGGGTCGGATCGTGTCAAGCCTCTCGCCCGGCCGGCCGCGTGCAGACGTCGGCCTGTCTGCTGTCTGGAGATGTCTGGAGTGATCTGTCGGCGGTCAGTACGACCGATCAGGTTTGGAGAGATCTCGAGGAGTACATACAGATAGACACTCCAATCATCAGAAAACTCCAACCTCCCAGAGTATCGTCTGCGGAGAGTCGAGAGATGCTATCTATCTCCTCTTTTACACAAAATATCAATATCACGCAGCTCCTACCCTTAACCCTACGGCCCTAGTAGTCTCCATGGACTCGAGCTAGTCGGACTGCCGGAGCACGTCTCCCACCGCGAGGCGCTTGGCGGGCGCGGGTGGCGCCTTCTCGCCGGCGGCCGCCCCGAACCAAACAGTGCCTACCACGTACTCGTCGTAAGGGCGGACGCGGCACCCCGGCCTGGAACAACGGCATTACAAAGCGCGAGCACGCGAGCTTCATCTACGCACTCAAGGCCAGCCACCCCACCCCTCCTCGCAGATGCTACCACACACGCCCCCCTTGCCCCCCTCCCCCTGACCCCCCCCACCCCCACCCACCCGTCACCCCCCTCTGCGTCACAGGCGGCCGTCAAGGCGGGCAACACCATCCTGCACTACGGCGGCCGCGAGCCCATCATCTGCAAGCAGGCCGGGGTGCCCTGCGTCGACGTGCTGCACATCCTCCGCTACGCCTTTGGCGCTGAGGGCAACGGCTCCTACCGCAACACCAAGGTCAAGTGGAGTTGGGCCGCGCCCTTCATCTCGTGGCTCTTCGGGCGGCACTACACGCACGACGCGCCCGGCGACTGCGAGAACGTCGGCCGCTTTCTCTTCGCCCTGCTGGCGGGCCTCGTGCGGCACCATGGCGTGTAGGCGCCCGCTGCCGCTTCCCCGCGCGAGCCGCTCCCCCCGCCGCCCGCCATCTCTCGATGGCGGTGCCGAGCGGGGGCGCTGCGGAGCCGGGCATCGACTGGGCGCACTCGCATCCATCTGCGGGGAGGACTCAAGCCGCTGCCCCCCGCCGCCCGCCATCTCGTGATGGCGGTGCCGAGCGGGGGCGCTGCGGAGCCGGGCATCGACTGGGCGCACTCGCATCCATCTGCGGGGAGGGCTCGCTACCTTCTGCTTCCCCTGGGGCCTCCAGTGGGCAGCGCAGAGTGCGCATCCCTCTCGACTTTATCGTAGTGTCTTAGTGGAGGGTATGCTGTCGTGTTGTATGCGCTATTTACATGGGAATTTGAGGAATCTGACGGCGTATGAATGACCTGCAAGGGTGTAGTTGTCTCAGTCCCTCTCAGACGTCGTGTGTGAGTGTGGGGTGGTGTGCGTGTGGTGCGGGATTGCGGGTCCCCGGAGGTCCGTCTCGGCTCTCGCTCTCCTACTTGGTCTACTTGAGTTCGTACTTGCCTCTTCGAGCAGCGCGGGGGGAGGACCAGACAGCCCGACACCCGGGCGATAGAACATGCCAGCTGGGCTCTTCCAGGGCTCTCGTGGCCCGTGGCGCGAAACCCAGGTGAATAGGGCGGGCTGCGGCGGGCGCAATAACTATTCACAGCTTATGAAAACCGGAAACACTAGAGTCTGCAGAAGAGTTCGAGTGGTCTTCGTGCTCAGAAGGATCAAGAGAGTTCTATTCACACCCTTTGTGCGTTGAAGACCACAGGCAATGCCCGTTTACACCCAACCGACGAGTCGCTGGGCCCTCTGGGACCTCTGAGGCTGAGAGCCGGAGCCGGGGTCCGGGGAGCGCGCGCTGCTCGGAGGCACTCTCGGGATATACGATCGGATCGATGGTTTAACTAAAGCAAAAGACAGGTTGGTTTCCATTAATGGCGACACGCCGGAATGTGTTAGATCTAGAGCGCGACACACACACGCCTCACGGAGCCACACACGCGCGAGACCGCCATCATCGGTGAGGGTCGGAAGGTAGCATGGCCCCCACCGCTGAGCGCTCGCCTCCCGCAGCGGCAGCAGCTTGCGCAGCGGCAGTCGTCTCGAGGGCCTCGGCACGCTCCCTCAGCACACCGACAACTGCCACACTGCCCTTCTCCTCGGCCATCTGCAGCGCCGTCTTGCCCTCCTCGTCGCGCAGCGTCATGTCTGCGCCCGCCCGGAGCAGGCGGAGCACGACGGCGGGCTGGCGGTTGCAGTGGGCAGCACTCATCAGCGCGGTGCGGCCCTTGCCGTCCTTAGTGTTAACCTCTGCGCCGTGCCTCAGCAGCACGTCGACCGCCCGCTCGTGGCCGCGCCGGACGGCACTCATCAGCGCTGTGACGCCGTCCATGTCCTGCTTCTCGACGCTCGCCCCGTAGCACAGCAGCTTCTCGATGACGCAGCCGCGGCCGCTGTGCGCAGCCATGAATAGCGCGGTCTTGCCGCAGGCGGTCTGCTGTCCCACCTCCGCCCCCCGCCGCAGCAGCAACTCGGCCAGCCTTCCGTCGCCCTTGGAGACAGCCGTCATGAGCAGCGTGAAACCGCTCAACTCGCCGCGCGGCCTGGTGTACGTCGCATTGACCTGCCCGCCGCCGTCGAGCCACTCCAGCACGGCCGCCGGGCGGCCTCGCCACACCACCTCGGGAACGGTGTCGCTGCTCAGCGCGCCCCCCTCGCCGCCACCAGCGCCGGCGGCGGCGGCAGCGTCAGCGGCGCCAAGCGAGACCGAAACTAGCGGGTCCGTGAGCGGAGCAACCGGCGCCACGCACGGCGCGAGGGGGGGCGTGGGGAGGGTGGGCGTGCACAGCGTCGCATCGTCCGAGAGGGAAGCGAGACCAAGAGGCGGCGGGCGGGCGGGCGGCAGCAGCGGCGGCAGCAGCGGCGGCGGCGGCGGCGCGGGCGGCGGCGGCATGAGCGACGTGCTCGCTCCGGCCTCCCCCCCCGGCTGTGCGACCGCACCGAGCGTGGCGCTCGCACCCGCCCACTGGGCCGTGCTGCACGGCGCGAGGATCTTCAGCTCGTCGCGAGCGGAAGAGGCTGAGGGCGGGAGCCGCGATCCGGCCAAAGCACAAAGCGGGGCAGCGGAGGTGGCGCCTCCGACGAGAGGCAGTCCGGGCGGCTGTGAGGCGTGAGACCAAGCGGCGGCGAGGCTCTCGTCGAGGCTCGAGGCTGCCGGCGCGGGCTTGAAGGGGAACGCACGCCGATAGGCCGCCCGGTCGGGCCGGATGAAGCGCCAAAAGACCTGCCACTCCCTCTGGCACCAGAAGCAGACGAGCAGCGAACGATCGCGCTCGCGATGCACCGGCTCAAACGGCAGGAACCGAGTCCTCCGGCTGCCGCCGCCGCCGCCCGCGCCGCCGCTGCCGCGCGCGCCGCCGCTGTCGCGCGCTCTGCCGCTGCCTCGCAACTCGTCGCAGTGGCGCTCGGTGATGCCGCACCGCTGACACCCTTCTGTGTGGAAGGGGCCCTCCCGCTCGCGCACCCGCGTGATGCCGATGCGGTATGGTTCGGCGGATAGGTACTCCTCCCACGCGTGCTGGCCCTCCCACCAGTCGTGCCACTCCTGGTGGCAAAAGAAGCAGAGCGTGAAGAGGTTCGCCGGGTCAAAGGGGTGCCCTCCTTCGGAAATCGGGAGGACGTGATGCTTCTCGAGCGGGCCGCGGCCGAGAGCCGCGTGGCCTTCTTTGGTGATGCCACACCGGCGGCACGTGCTGTCCGTGGGGGCTCTGTCGAAAGCGCGCCGGGCCGTGTTATGCATCACATCGCGGCGGAGCGTCTTCCCCTGGGCTCGCAGCTCGTCCCACCGCGCCTCCATGTTGCGCCGGAGCCGAGCCTTTCTCTCCTCACGATCCTCATCTCCCCGTCCCCGCTTGTGCCCGGTAGGCGGGCCGTGCTTGGCGTGCATGGCGGCTGCGTGCCCGAGGCACAAGTCGAAAAAATAACACGCGTCGATCAGCGGAGCTGGGAATAGGAGGACCGCCGCAAGCGGTGTGGCGTGGGGCGGTTGTGCATCCCTCCGGGGGCCCCTCTGCGCCGGGGAGGCGTTGTTGGAGGCTAGCGGACGCAAGCGTCCGTCGCCCTTTTCAAACTCGGGGCCCACTCCGCTACGCTAGGGTGCCCACAGCCCACAGTGCCCAAAAAAAGAAAGGAAAAAAGAAGAGCCGCACGCACGTGACGACGAGCCAGCCCGGAATCGCGAGCCAGCGCTCCAGCTTCTTGGCGCCCGCGGCGTCGCCCTTGGACGCAGTCACGAGCTCCGCATTGAGCTCACAGACCCGCCGGACTGGGTGGAGAGAGAGAGAGAGGGCGGCAGGCGGGGTTGGGTCAGCATAAGAGGGAGAGAGGGAGGGAGGGCAGGGAGAGAGGGAGAGGGAGAGCGGGGAGAGAGGGAGAGAGAGCAAGGCGGGTGAGCAGCACTTGAGCGAGGTCCGAGGAGGTGGAAGCGCCACGGTTCGGTCCGCTTGTGGTTGGGTGCAAAGGTGGCTGCCTCCACAGCGCGCTCCAGCGCCTCCTCCCACCCGGCAGGCAGCTGAGGCGAAAAGTCATTTATCGTTCGCCGCGAGCGCAGCGCGTCGTGGACGGCTTCCGCCGCGCCCATCCTGCCGCCTCCCTCGCCCAGCTCGCCGTCCTCGCTCGTCGCGGTCAGGCCGAGGCTCTGCCGGCTGCCCACGAGGGATGCCTCGACCTCGGATGCCACCCGCAGCCGCCCTCCGGAGCCGGCGCAGAGCCCGCGCAGCCCCTGCAGCGCCGCCTCCTCCGCCTCGGCGACGGAGGGCAGCTCGCGCGCGTCCGGGCTCACGCAGAGCGACTTGACACTCCACTCGTCCTCATCCACCTCCACCAGACAGAGCGTGGACGCACAGCCGCCGACCGTGGCGAAGAGCTTAGCGGCGCCCGCATCGCCGGCACCCGCAACAGCTGCGGCACAGGCTTGGAAGCGCTCGTACTGCTGCTTGCGATTTGCGCGCCGTATCCGCTCCGCTCCTGAAACGGCGAGCACCTTTAGCTTTGTGCCCGTCTTGCCGTCAGGGACTGTCTGCAGGGTGTTGGCGTTCGCTGCCCGCGCTTGCCACGCCGCCACGAGCATCGAGCCCTTGGCAGGCGAGACCTCGACCAGCTGAGGAGCGGAGGACGTCACGGAGGCCACGGCGGGCTTCGCCCTCGCGCTGGGCGTGAGGGTGCCGAGCGAGAGGAGCAGAGCACAGGCCATCGAATCAGATAGAGTTTTACAACAAAACTCCCTCGCACAACACTGGCACGGGACTCAGATACCGTCGGGTACTTATGAGCCGTGCCCAGATTCCCTACGTCCCTTTTTTGATCGAAGAAACCCTCGCCCCGAGCGGCTGGCCGCATCTTTGATTTGCTGTGTGAGTGTTGAGGTGATGCGAGCGCGCGTGCGCGCGGCGCGCGTGCCGTTTTGGGTCTTTTATACCAGTGATGAAATATCAACCGACTTACCCCACGCGCGCACGCGCGCGCCGCGCTCCTCGACTCTCTCGCACCCGCCCCGACCCACGCCCCTCCCTCACGAGATCGGCGGCTGCGACCCTGAGAGTGCGCAGCGGTGCCGCTGGCGTGCTCACCACACCCATGCCTGCATAATTCCTGCACGCACTGCCTGGTCTGGTCGGGGCGTGGGGCGAGATTTGGCATGGCGGCGCGCTTGAACTGAGCGCCTTCGATCGTCTCGCGGCGACAGCTCGCAGGCCGGGCGGCCAGAAACTGTGCCGCTCAGCCATCCGCCGAAGCGAGCGCGCCGGCGGCGGTCCGCCGCCGGCGCGCTCGGCTCAGTGTCTTCAAGCCCGCCGCCGGTGGGGAGCTCCGCTTGCGGCCAGCCTCGCTGTGCGGCCAGCCTCGCTGTCCGTGAATCAAGCACTCTTCACGGACGGTTTGATTGTGGAAACACCCAATAACTCCTTATTTTAAGACGAGGTAAACAGCAATAGATCCGGCCCTCAAGCGGCCTAATCGATACCCAGCCCTCACGGAATCGGTCCCTCGTTGTACAGCAATCGATCCTTTTGCAGTGCCCGTCCTGCCAAAGTTGCCGAGAATCGGTCCCCCACCCAGGTCACCTGTGGCGCGAAGCTCATGTCTCCCGCCCTCGGCGCGCCGACCGCGCAGCGGCGGCAGACCACCCTCCGGTTCGAGGGGCGCCTGGGGCTGAGCGGGCTGCCTCCGCCAGAGTTTGGCTCGCCCACCGGCGTCGCCGCCCGCCGTGAGCGCCAAAAAAGCGTCAACCGCGCAACCGCGCAACCGAGAGAGAGCCGCCGAGACGCTTCAGCGACCCGCCAGGAGCCGGGCCGAGGCCGCCTGGAGCACCCTGGGAGGCGCCCGTCAAAGCCAAAGCTGTGCTGGGGACACGGCCGGATCAGACTTGTACCGTCTCGAGGTCTTGAGGTCCGTGCGAAGCCGCCCAGTGCAGAACCCAGTGCAGAGGAGCCCGAACCTCGACGAACCAGCAGACAGGGACGACAAGTGGGTGAAGGCCTACAAAAATATGGCGGCCTGTAGCGCGTACGCACACTGCGCCTCTCTCGCCGGTGACTGCTGCCCCACGACCGGCGGAGTCGTCCTCGACTGCTGCGGACTGCCGGCGTTGCCGTTGCCAAGCATTTCGCCGAGCTCACCGCTCCACAACTTCGTGCCGGTACGCCGGAGCGAGGGCAAAGGCAAGGGCAAACCCGCCCGAGGGCAAAGGCCGCCGCAATTGGCACCTCTGTCGGGTGACGTCTTTGGTGGCCCGCCGCTGAGCGAGTGCAGTGGGCCGGCTGACCATTGCTCGCCCTTTCCGCCAGTCGACCACCCGCTCTCGCCCGGGGCGGTGTGGGGTCTGCGCCGCTCTTCGCCTCCGCTGCCGACTCACGAATGGTGGATGGGCCTTGCGCTCAGTGCGCCGCCGGCGGGCGCGGCCGAGGCGCCGCCGGGCAGCGCGGCGTTCGACATGCTTCCGTTCGTGGTGGAGGTGCGGCGCGGCGGGCTGTGGGCGTCGTTGCCTCGCGAGCCCGAATCGCCAGAGGTCGCCGTCGTCGGCGTCCTTTCGCGCGAGCGCGGGGTGCGTCTCGGCTGCGCCGGCCGCGCCGCCTCGAGCTACCGCATCGTCGCGTGGGACGCACTGTCAGTGAGTGTCGAGTGGCGCGCAGAGGGAGGGGAGGGAGGCGGAGGGGAGGCGGCTCTCTACCGCGCGCCTCTGGTGCGGGGCATGCCATACGCCACGGTGAGCTACGGCTCCGGGGCGTGCCGCGCGCCGCTGGTCGAGTTCTTGCACGGCTCCATCCTCTCGCTCAACGGGCAGGCCGCCGCGGCGGGACGCCTCGAGGCGTCTGGCACGCGGTTCGAGGTGCGTCTCGACACGGGTGTCCGGTGGCTCCTCTACGCCTCACAGCCTCTCTCCCTCGCCACCTCCGGCGCCGCAACCCTGGAGGCGGCCGGCGGAGGCGGCGGCGGAGACGGAGGCGGCGGAGGCGGAGGAGGCGAGGCGGGAGGAGGGTTCGAGGGCAGCTTGCGGGCGGTGATCGCCGACTCGGACGCGGCCGCTGCTGTCCTCGACCGCCACGCACGACGCGTCCCGCTCTCGGCCGCCGCCGCTTCGCAGGGCTCTGCAGTTTCGCAGGGCTCTGCAGCTTCGCAGGGCTCTGCCGCCGCCGCTGCGGGCTCTGCCGCCGCTGCTGCGGGCTCTGCCGCCGCCGCTGGCCTTCCAGGGGTCGGTGCGACGGTCGACGGGGTCGGGGACGGCGCGCACGGGCGGCTCCGCTTCGCGTGGAGGAGCGAGGGGGAAGGGGCGCTGCTGATGATGGCGCTGCCGCACCAGCTTGCCGGCCTCGCCGCCGCCGCCGAAAAGGGCGGGTGGGCGGGGGAGCTGCTGCCGGAGCTGGCGCAGTGGAGCGCCAAAGGCACCTCGCTCGGCGTGGCGAGTGACGACGGAGCGTGGACCCAGCGCCTCCCCCTCGGACCTGCGGTGCGGTGGGGGGCGGCCCGCCCTCCCGCCGCCAGCCGCGTGCCTCGGCTGCGCGCCGCGCTGCGCGCCGACGCGGCGAGCAAGCGGGTCGCGGCGGCAGACTCCTACGGGACCGGCAAGGAGGTTGGCGCGCTCGGCCGGCTGGCCCTCATCGCCGACGAGCTGGGCGAGGCCGACGCCGCCGCCACCGTGCGAGGCCGCCTCGCCGCCGCGCTCGACGCTTGGCTCGATTGCGACGGCGGGAAGGCGCCGTGCCGTTTCTCGTACGACCGCAGCTGGGGCGGCGTCGTGCCAACTGAGGCGCTCGCCGATCCGGCCGCCTCCTTCGGCGTCGGCTGGCACAACGATAAGCACTTCCACTACGGCTACTTCCTGTACGCCGCCGCGGCGCTCGGGCGCGCCAACACGACGTGGCTCGCCGCCCGCACGCCCGCGCTGCTCACCTTGGTCGCGGACGTCGCAAGCCCGAGCGCCTCCGACCGGCGCTTCCCGCCGCTGCGCCACTTTGATGCGTTCTGCGGCCACTCTTGGGCGCTGGGCCTCTTCGCCTCCTCGGCGGGGCGCAACCAGGAGAGCGTGTCTGAGGCGCTCAACGCGTGGCACGGCATCGCCCTCCTCGGCCTCGCGTTGCGCAACGAGCGCCTGGTTTCGCTCGGCCGCCTGCTGGCTGCGGTAGAGACGCAGGCCGCGGCCGTCTACTACCACGCCGGGGCGAGTCCCGTCGCCTGGGGCTCGGCGTCGTTCGTGCCGCGCGTGTACCCGCCTCGCTGGCCTCGCGACGGCGTGGTCGGCAACTTGTGGGGGCTCAAGGCCGAGGCGTCGACTTGGTTCGGGCGGGAGGACTACTTCATCTTTGGCATCCAGGTGATCCCGCTCACGCCCCAGGCGTCGGAGCCGCTGCTCGACCAGAAATGGGTTGCCGCCAGCAGGGCCAGCTGGGAGACGTCGATGCGCAGACTGCCAGCAAAAGACGAGACGTGGAGGGCGTTTCTCGTCGCAATGCTTGCGGTGGTCGACAGCGGCGCGGCGTGGCAGCGCGCAGAGTCGCTGGGCGCACTCGACGCCGGCATGACACTCACCAATTTGCTGCACTGGATCGCGACGCGGCCGCCGCCGGCGGGGGCAGCCGCGGGCGCGTCGCAGCCGACGCTCGCCCCGCCGGCCGAAGAGAAGCTGGAGGCCCAAGCGCGAGTGGAGGGTGAAGAGCGGCTGGAGGCCGCGTTGCCGGCCGCCGTGCGGGTCTTCGGCACCTTCACCGAAGACGAGGTGCTCGAGGCTGCCGCTACGGCGGGCGGCGCGCTCCTCGTGTCGGCCGTCGTGGTTGGGATGTGGTTGTGGGCGGCGGGGCGCCAGCGCGCACGGCTCGGCCCGCTCGCGTCTCGGGCGGGCAGGGATGTGGACTTTGCCGCGTGGCTCGCCCTCGGCGGACCGACCGGCAACGAGCTCGCCGCGACGCCGCCGACGCGGGGCTCTGCGCGGCGCTCCGGCAGCCGCGGCAGCCGAGCGGCCCAGTCCAGCTGCTGCAACAGCGCCAGCGTGCACGGCGCCAGCCTGCACGGCGCTTTCGAGCGCTCCCTCGCGTCGGACGCAGCCTCGGCGCAGCTCGTGCAGCATTTCAAGGTGACGCCGACCTCGGGCTCGGCCAGCGCGGCGCAACGGTACCAGCAGCTGGAAATCGGGACCGACTCGGCGCCATCCAGTCCACACTGAGTGTTGCGCTTTGTTGGACTCCTCGCGCGTGCCTCAAGGAACACACGAGCGAGCGGCGCCGCGTTTTGCTAGATCCTAGAATATACTCTCTCGGTCGTCTCTCGATCGAGTGTGTCATCGCGCAAATCCTAGTGTGTCGCGCCGGGTACTTGGATGGGGCGAATCGCTGCCCCCTTCCCCCCACACCCCCCAGCGTCCATGGATGGATGCTTGCTTGGACCCCCCCAGGGAGATACCCCCCAGGGTGGAGGGGAGGGATGGGAGCCCAGGGGAGACGAAAGAAGGGCGAGGAGGACACTGGTTGGGTAGTAGTCTAAGTTCTGAGCCTCGAGGCTGAGCGGGTCTAAGTGTGACTAGTCACGCTGGGGTGCTTACGCGGTCTAAGATCAGCGAGAGCCTCTTACATCGGCTAAGTCGGCCGTGGCACAGCCTGGGGCCAAGAGGCTCCCACCGTGATCAACGATACGGCGCTAGCCCCCAAATTTTCTTCGCCTGCGGCGGGCGCCTTCTAATCCGGATCGATCCTCCTCATGCCTCAGCAATCGCCGCCTCAGCATCCTCCTCTTCCGATTCTCGTTGCTCTTCTTGAGCGCAATCTCTAGCCAAACATTTCTCACATAAATAGCCTCAAGCTCAAACAAACGCATGTCAGAGAAGCCTGTGTATGCTGGTCCTCTTTGAACGATCCGCGCGTGAGGTAGATCTAGCATAGGGCCTTGTTGGCAGCAGCCAGCTTGTTGCGCTGCTTCGTTGCGATGAGCTGATTGGGATCGCAGAAGTGCATGCCAAGCACCGCCACGATCTTGAAGCAGAACACATCGCAACCGCATCGTCCGCACTGCCATCGGCATGCCGCGCCCGCCGCTTCGCCGCAGCCGCCTTAAGACACGCATAGCGGCAGCACATGCTACGGTGCGCGTACTTGAGCAGGAGTTGCGCGCCGCAAGTAGCGCACTGGCCCTGGGACAAGGCGATATGGCGTCGTGCGCGGCATACGTTGGTCGGGACGCGTCCAGGTATTTTTCGGGTAAACCTGGACTTTTGCACCCCTCCGGGGTGGCTTGCCCGTTGGGGTCGGCCGCACCGCCACCGGAGGCAACCCCGGCTCCGTTGGAGACAAGTTCGCCTTCGGCAACACCGAAGAGCGCGCCCGCCTTGCAAACATGGGCTGCAAGCAACGGGGTTCCGTGGTCAACGGGCGTTCGACCACACCACCGGCCAAGGCTACGTCAAGTCACAGCGTGGCCACTACGTATGATGGGATCTTCACCAAACGAAACAAGTTCAACCTGCTTCTCCACGAGACATTCGGCGGCGGCTTCTCGCCGCCTGCAGTTGCAAAGATCAACCGCCTTGCGCGCAAGGCTCAAGCCTCAACGCTCGGGCGTTGACCGCACCGCGATCCGCGTACGCCGTACGGTAAAGTACCCTCCCCCACTCCCGCCTCTCATTTGTGTCACACCACCCTCTCCCTTTAGTTTTGCCAAAAGTCTTTAAAGCCTTTTCTCCCAGGGGGTAAGCTAAAAGTACGTACACAAGAGAGAGAGCGTACACAACGAGGGTGTGTGCCGCAGCCGGGCAAACGCATCAGCGTTTTCTTTCTTTTGCACCGCGCAGGCGGACACGCCGCATCCTCTCCCCACCCGTCCTCCGAATCCCGCCACACCACTCAAAGATCCGCCATCACGAGTACCCATGGCCGTGCGAGTACTGCTCTCGCCGCTCTCGCTCCCGCTCCCGCCGCCGCCGTTGGGCCTCCTCCAGCCGTTGGGTCATGTCGATCGCGGTGGCGAACGCGTAGAGGAGGAGCGGCGACGTCCCCTTTCCCAGGCTCAGCCGGTGCACGTTTGCGCTCGAGTCGACCAGCAGCCCCTAAACGGCGGCGGCGGCGGCGGCGGCGGGGTGTGTTTGCGTCCCCTTTTTTTTTCCCCCTCCCTCCCTCCCTTTTTCCCTCCCTCTGCCTCTGCCTCGGCCTCTGCCTTTGCCTTTCCCTCTCCCTCTCCCTTTTTTTCCCTCCCTCTCCCTCTTTTTCCCCTTTTTCCCCCCCCCCCCCCCCCCTGTTTCTAGCGCCTCTGCGCCGAGGTAGTACTCCGCCTCGTATGTCGCGAGCACGTCGTCGTCGCCAGCAAAGGGCGGGAGCCACAGCGTCCCTACAAAGTGAGTAGCCAACATCAGGGCGGGAAGCGAATAAAGGGGATGCAGCTGAATACGGCCGAGTCCGTGTCCTCTCGGGTGCTAGCTAGAAGACCTTAAGGTGCAAGATTGCGTGTATTCTGCCTCTAGGACAGGTGGCCCCACGGGTCTGGCGTGGCGCCGTCGCGGATCAGCACGAGCTGCTTGAGCAGGAGTGGGACCTGCGGGGAGATCTGGGGAGATCTGGGGAGATCTGGGGAGATCTGGCGAGATGTGCTTGAGCAGGAGTGGGACCTGCGGGGAGATCTGGAAAGGGCTGGGGAGATCTGGGGAGATGTGCTTGAGCTGGGACCTGCGGGGAGAGTTGGAGGGTTGGAGGCGGCCAGGGTGGTGGTGGCCTGCTGGGCAGAGGTGGTGGCACGGTAGAGCAGCGGCCACCCGCCCCACTCCCGCCACTCGCGCTCGTTGGCCGCCGAGCCGTTCGAGACCTGCATCTCGTACTGCGGGAAGCCGGGGAAGCTCAGCCGCTCGCGCACCATGCCAAACGGGTGCAGGCGCCGGCCGCCGCCGAACCAGTCGCTCGTGCTCGCGCGATGCGCAGGCCACAGTGGCTCGAAGGAGTAGAGCTGCCAGACGTACGCCATCGTGGCGGACTCGAGCGCAATGGACGCCGCCTCGGCCACGCTTCCGGCACCGGCGGAGCCAGCTGCGTCGAGGAAGCCCTCGTCGGCCGCCCAGGGGACACGCCGCATGAGCAGCAGATCCCGCCCTGCTGCGTCGCTCAACACCACCGACTGGAGCGGAGCCCACCAGCGCCCAGACACGCGGTAGAGCAGCGGCGGCTCCGAGCCGGGCGACGCGGCCCCGAGCATTGAGCCCATGTTGGCAGACAGGCAGTTTGGGTCGCCAGAGTCGAGCAGGCAGATGAGCGGTATGTCCCGCCGCACGACGGTCTCTGTCGCTCGCGTCGTTATGGCCCTGTCCGGAGATCTCCACGCCTCAAGAGCGCCGTCGTGACCATGCAGGACGCTCGAAGCCGGCAAGTTTGTGCAGAAGCGGCTCAGGCCGAGAGAGCTGGACGCCCAGCCAAGCGCTTCACAGGGCGCCCAACTGACGCGCGCGGGGCGATGCCTGACCGCGGCGAGAAAAGGCAAGATGGAGACCGCGCAGAGTAGACCGGCGAGTCTGAGCGGGCCGGCGCGAGGAGTTGTTGCTGTCTCCATTTTTGGGAGCCTTCGTCGACGAAATTCAGCTGGTCCTTTCCGAGAAAAAATCAACGCGCTGGCTGGCCAGAGCCGAAATAAATCGGGGAGAGCGATGAGTCAGGGGAAGAGACAGCAGGAGAGAGAACGACGAGAGTGGGAAGAACGCGAGGTGGCATGAAGGTCGCTGCGAGAATTGGTGAGAAACTGCGGAGAGAGATAGGAAGTGGTAAAGACACCGCCACATTCCTGAGACGAGCGAGGGCAGCCTCCTTAAAGGCGAAAGGGTCTAGATTTGGAGCGCTCGCCGAAGAGGAGTACGACAAAATAGCGCCCGTGATTGCCTGCACGCTACCCGCACTCACGGACTCCATACCCGAAAGAAAGAGAAGGGAGCTCGCGGGAGAGGTGACGAGTGACCTACAGGTAGTGGGGAAGGCAGCCTCGATTGCCATACAGACATGGGTGCGAAACAACGACAAGACCAAGGCACGGGCAGAGGAACGAGAGAAGAATATAGGGTGGATAAAGCGCCTGTTCACGGCATGGAGGGTGAGCCA